GGGATGTTGGGGGGGGGGGGGGGGGATGATAGGCTACATCAGAAGATATAATAAAAAGCACGTGACTCGACGCAAGTCAAATTTCCGTAAATTTCAAGAAAAAAAATATATATATATATATATAATTATTTCCAGTGAACTTGACATAATTTTAGAAACGGTATGTAAATATCTATTATTTACCTAGATGATTGGCAGTCATTTTTTTCGGCTTGAAAAATAGTAGAGAACCTTGAAGAAAAAATGTGATGAGTTACGGCCTGTCGTAGCGGATATGAGAATTGGTAAATTTGACAAAAATTGCGACATAGAGAGGGAGGGAGAATATAATTGAAAATTATGAAACGTGTATTTGTCTCTGTACATATTTTGTCATTGGCTGTTTTAATGTATCGATATTCTTTTTTTTTAATATATGGAATTTTTTATTTTGTGGTGCACGTTACGTCACTGCTTTCTCCGTACGAAAATCATGTAGCAAAGAAAATTATGCGTGACGCACATACCAGCTGCGGAAGTTTACATCGTTAGGATCCAATCGATTAACTTTCACCCAACTTCCTCTCACTTTCGTTGATATCTACAGCCGAAATGCCTGATAATGCAGTGGGAACGTGCAAGAATGCAGTTCGGTGCATGTTGTAGTGAGAAATGAAAAAAAGAGTGAAATTAGGTAAAAACAGATTTTTAAATAATGATCGTGATTCTTCGTATTTTTGTCTAATAAAAATTTCTCATAAATGAATTCACCTGGTACAGACTGTTCATTTTGTAAAGACGTGACGTTTACAATGGTAGCTGGAGAAAGGCGAGAGATGCACTTTCACGCGATAGTTTCGTTGGGCGCTTATAGAGAAATTGCGACAGAGAGAGAAAGAAAGAAAAGGATATAGCTATAAGTAATATTTTTGGCATTAGCAAATGTCTAGACGGTTTTATGAATTTTGGAACAAGTCAGGATTGCGGCGTTCATGCACATTTTTTTCGGATTTGCTAATGCCAACTAAAAGAAATTAATAACGATTTGAATGTAAAGTCCTGTGATGATCATCGTACGATTTTAATTTCCCTGCTTAGAAACTCTAACGAGCGTGTGCGATTGGTCCAGGAATTTGAAAAAAAAAATTATTTTCCCCATTTTTAAGTATACCCTCCACCACTTTCTTCATTTCTCAAATGGGTCACGTCGCGAAATTCGTTCGACTTTCTGTAGGTTTGTGTACATTTTCACGACGGTCGTGAGTAGTCGCCTTGGATTTTTTAAGTATGGTTTCGTTATGAGATCAGAGCCAGAAATACGAGAAGAAAGTCGAGAGGGAAAGTCCCATCGGTTCTCGACGTTGGAACAGCACAGAAGAAGTGATACTTTCGCCATCTTTCCATCAGAAATACTTTTCGTGTTCATCCAAACTTAGAGATGCCCGAGATGCTTCTTTGGTCTGCACTGATAGACCCCATTAAAGATTTGGATAATACTTTCCGAAACGCCAACGCACGTACCGCCATCTATGTTTTCGTCGACCTTGTAACAGATTTCTCAGAGAAACAAATACTCAGAATCCACGAAGGATCTGTGAGAATATTTTTTCTTAAATTTCATGCAAAGAAACCATTTTTTCCCACGTGATCGTCGAGTCGTTCAAAATTTCATTTATCCAAATTCCGCGTGAATGTAAATGCCAGTCATTCGGACTTGACGAGACGGAAGAGCCTGGTGGGATACTGGTCTTGTAAACTTTCACAGAATATTTCTTGAGAACTTCCGTTATCCATGACGTATGATCGTGCCTGATTTAGAATTATGATTTAAAGTATTTTTTTTTTTTTTTTAGAATGACAATGCGGCTCATCATTCTGATGGGCCTAGTGGCTCAGGGCCTGACATCGCAAGTAGCCTTCCAATCATCGTCATCGTCCCAGGCAGCATCATCTTCCAGTCAGCAACAGCAATGGTCCTGGCAGGGACAGGACCTAGTTGCTGCAGCTGATACCCAACAAGAATCGTATCATCCACTGACCTTCGATGCCTCCGATGACCTGAAGGAGCAGCAGCAACAGTACACTGCTAATGTTCAGCAAGGATCCAGTGGAGTAGCTCAAGTACTGGGCCAGTACAACCAGCAATCGGTAAGACCCAAAATTCTTAAGCCTAACCCAACCTGGTCTAACATTGCCCATAGTATACTTCAATGATCTAATAAATGAATGATCCTGTTTTTACAGGTGGACACTGTGATCGATGATATTTTGGTATCCAATCGACAGGGAAGAAATCTGGAAGGTTACGATGAGGTCTATGCTGATCCTGATGTCAAGAATGCACTTCAGCTTGGAAACGACACTATAGCCCGTGCTTATATTAAGGACAAGCTGTGTTCACTAGGTCTGATGAACGTGAGTGTACCTTGAAAAAAGAATTATAATAATTATAATTGACTGAGTAAATTAATAGAAAAAATGGGTTCCTTACAGTGTGAAAATTTGGAGGGCAGACGTCCATATTATTCGCCACATCGTGACATCCAACCTCACGATATCATATATGCGCAACCAGTTACAATTAAACCAGTTGGTCGCCCACTACCAGCAATTCCCATTAAGCGACCATATGGATCACCCAAACCAGTTCCAATTCCACCAAGTTTCGGTTCCGGACCACCTGGTCCTATTTACTCCGGTCCACCACCGTCCTTCTCTGGTCCCAGCTACGGTCCGCCATCTTCTTATCCAGGAAGTCATCCACCTGGTTTCGGTGGTCCTTTCTCAGGCTTCAAGAAACCTGGACCAATTTACGGTTCCAAACCTATTTATGAGTCCGGGGTCGATGGCGAGCTAGATTACGAAGACAAGTTCATTGATAAGAAACAGGTGGTGCTGCAGCAGGCTAGCTCTGGTGTTCAGCAACACGTTCATCATCATTATCATCATGGAGAAGGAGGCGTCGGTGACAATAAGTCACCGACTGTCGTTGTTAATAATCCTGGTGTCGTTGCTGGTACACCTGGTCCCATCATTGGTCCTGGTCCCATTGGTAACAATGGATTCAACAATTACGGATACGGCAATGGTGGCAATTATGGCAGTGGCGGCACTTACGGCAATTCCTACAACGATTTTGAGGGATACAAGAAGGCCTTCAAGGTCAAACCAGCGTCTTCCGGGAACAGTCTGTTTTCTGCCTCCAGCAATAACTATGCTGATCGTTATCCCAGTTATGAGAAACCTAAGCAGGATTCTATCTTCGCCAATACAGGAAAAGGATTTTCAAATAATTATGACAGTAGCAAGCAATTCAATTCTGGATCTAGCAACGGTTTTGGAGCCAGCAACAATTTAGGATCGAGCAACGGTTTTGGATCCAGCAACAATTTTGGATCCAGCAACGGTTTTGGATCCAGCAACAATTTCGGTTCCAGCAATGGGTTCGACAATGGATTTTCCTCATCCAATTACGACGACTGTGTCTGTGTACCATATGAGCAATGTGCAACGATCGATCAAATTGGACGCAAGGATGATCTATATCTAGCAATAGATCCTCGTAACCTCGGCAAAGATATTGAAGCTGAAACTGTAGAGGTCGTCCTTACCGACGGTAAAGGTAGCATGAGCGTGGTACGTGTACCAAAAGGTGTAAACGCAACGGAACAGGCAGAACAAACCAAAGAGCAAGAGGTAAAGAAGACAGAAACCAGCAACGAGAAAGCTGAGGAAGCCTCGAAAGAGAAAAAAGAAAAAGTCGAGGATACCAAGAGAGCCAAGAGAGACGCAAAAGCAGCAGACGAACCTGCCACCAAAAAGGCAAATGCACAGGGCGTAAGTATTTCAAATTTTTTTTCCAAATTTTCATCCTAACTTATGTATATAGTATATAAACATCCATATCATACTACACAAAAAACACTCTAGTATTGTATATATATATATATAGAATTTTGGTTTTGGTTTTTTTCTAATGCTTTCCTAATGCTTCCCTAATTCCAAATGCACTACTGCACTTTTTTGAATGACAAGAAAAACGACAAGACCATACATCACAGACCTATTCTACTTGCACGACGACATACAAGGCACGAGATGGGAAATAGGAAAAAAACAGAGTACAAAAATGGGCTAGGAAACAAAGTCCAAAAGCATTCAAGTATCGCAAGTATTTGTCTATCCATCGATCAGCCATCGGATCTTGGAAAATCGTTAGAGTCAACGAAGTAGAGGACTTCCGGGGTTTATCATGTTGGTTGGTGTCATTTTATATTATATATATATGTATATATATACATTTCTTTTTGCCTGTACAATTCGATGCACTGGAGCCATTAACGAAAGTATTGGAAAAAAATGGAAATTTTGTAAAATCTTTATTTTTATTTTGAAATTACATACTTAGCTAACCAACGTGTCTAACCTTTAAATCTCGGAATCTGATAACTCTACGTGGCCTGACTCTCTCGTTGCAGCGTCTGATCGTTGGCGATTTGGATACGTCTAAACTGAACCTGAAGCCAACCTGGGGAGTGAGTTTCGGATTGCCACAAACAGCTGGTGGAAACTACCCGATCAATCCTTACGGAGGTGACTCGTTATTAAATCCATACCCTGGATACGGTGCCGGAGCTCAAGGAATAAACCTTGGCCTGGTCTCGGTGAACCCTCTGGTGGCAGTACAAGTAACTAAGGACGAATATGGCGAGAAGGTCGTTAAGCCTTTTGTTAATTTACATGTGACGCCCAATCAAGGCCTGGTACACAAACTCGGCGACATTTTGTCATACAAGAAGCAAGTTCTTCTCGGTCATGGCGGAGGACATTACGCACCTCAATATTATCCGGCTGGACCACCTGTTTACGAAAAGCCGATAATCGTCGAAAAGCCTATACACCATTATCCACCTAAACCTTATTATCCAAATTATGGTGGTCCAGTTTATCATGAAAAACCACATCATCATTATGGCAAACCTCAGTTTGGTGGTTACGGTAACTACTACAGGCAGGAAAACGATTACGAAGACGATTACAATAACGGAGATTACGCTGATTACGGAGATGAATATTATAGAAATTCAAAAATCAATAATCCCAATGGCAGCCAAAACGTACAGAAAATCGTAAATTCCAATACGGCTGATAACAGGGATCAAGGTCGTACTGGGAAGGTTGCTTTCCCAGAGAGGAGGAAACGGGATGCTGTTAGCCATGACATGGTCCAGGAGGTAAGAGACGAGGATGAATCCTTCCACATCCGTCACCTTCTTCATCTGCTACATGGAGATGTTCCAGAATTTGACTTCCTGGACGCATAGCGACCTGAACGGATTCAGCGACTACAACTACGACTACGACGCATCATGATCTATGATGATTTTTTTCAACAGTCTTTTTTTATCATTGACGTATACAGGAGTCATGATTTTTATCGCTCGCTGATAACAGTTGAAACTGACAGATGACTAACTTTTCTAACAGCATCTTTTTTTTTGGTTTTTACCGGCATACTTACTTTACATACTTTACTGTTCTTTTTGCTTTTTTGGGGGTTTTTTGACAAATTTGACTTTTACCTGCTACTCTTTACTATCACGATACTGCCTGACTTGTTGTAACGTTATGATAAGGACTTTTTTTCTTTTCTCTTGCGCTTTCGTACACTCTTGCCTGTTTAATGCCTAATCTTTCTTGAGCTTGCTGAATCTCATTTGCTAGTTAACTGATATTTTTATTTCACTATTTTATTTTATTTCGTGGTTACTGTTGAATTATGCTAGTATCGTATCTCTATTATCTCTTATCTCAAAAATGATACCGGAAGTCAACTTGGTGTGCAAGAAAAAAATGGCATGACCTGTACATATTATGGAGATTTTGGACCATGAAGATTGTTTGATCGATAGATAAATAAAATTCTATTAATTTTGATTCGCAGAGACAATTCGGACGTCCTCCCGTATGTGGACCACGACACGTGTGCTGTCGTAGACCTCAGATAACCGGAAATCGACCCCGTCCAGGTCAATGCGGCGTGAGACACAGTCAAGGAATCAATGGTCGTATCAAGACTCCAGTATACGTAGACGGAGATTCTGAATTTGGTAAGGATCGTCAAACCTTAAAAATTGTCGTAATCAATTTCAAATTCGACTAATTTTTTTGGTTGATTCTATCACAGGAGAATATCCCTGGCAAGTAGCAATCCTGAAGAAGGACCCTACCGAGAGTGTCTATGTATGTGGAGGAACCTTGATATCTCCACGTCACATTATCACCGCAGCTCATTGCGTCAAGACCCACGCTGGTCGCGACTTGCGCGCTCGCCTTGGCGAATGGGACGTCAATCACGATGTTGAATTCTTCCCCTACATCGAAAGGGACATCGTTAGCGTCTACGTGCATCCTGACTTCTACGCAGGTACCCTGTACAACGATATCGCCATCCTGAAGTTGGACCACGACGTTGACTTCGACAAAAATCCACACATCAGTCCAGCCTGTCTGCCAGACAAGCATGATGACTTCAGTGGTACCAGGTCAGTGACGATAACTGTATGAAATTGAAAAGAAAAATTATTTTATGATTTTGAGGTTAGACCTTACTCACCCTACCTTGTTCCTGTGACAGGTGCTGGACAACAGGCTGGGGTAAGGATGCTTTTGGGGATTTTGGAAAATACCAAAATATCCTCAAGGAAGTTGACATCCCCATTGTCAGCAATGCTCTGTGTGAGCATCAGATGAGAAAGACGCGACTTGGACCCAGCTTCAATCTTCATCCTGGCTTTGTCTGTGCCGGCGGCGAAGAGGGTAAGGACGCCTGCAAGGGTGATGGCGGCGGTCCGATGGTTTGCGAAAGACAAGGACACTGGCAACTGGCAGGAGTCGTTTCCTGGGGTATAGGATGCGGCCAAGCTGGTGTTCCTGGAGTCTATGCTAGGGTGTCTTATTATCTCGACTGGATACAACAGATCATTAATCAGTATTGATCTTCATTTGATTTTTTTAATTTATTTTACTCACGAAAAGACGCTAATAAGTGTCCAGCCACTGTACTTACTACTCGATAGGTACTTGTTGCCTACAATTTTGAATTTCAACAAGAAAATTTATATTTTATTTATTTCTTTCGAATCGGTCCAGGTACTTGGGACTCGTACTCTATTTCGATATTTTAAATATTGTCAATTGTATCGTGACAACGTGTTTCCTTGGTCGATTTTTATATAATTTATATGGTCCACATCTTTCCTTGCGTCAAACTTGGAACGACCGAATTCTAATTATTTAAGAGGTAACTTATTTTTTATGTATATAGATTATTATTTGTATTAGAATGTTTGATCGTTAGTATTTAACTGATTTATTAATACCGTACTCCGACGATTGTAATTAATCGTAAGATTCGGACCATTCACGGTCCGGAGCGACAAGTAATGCATTTTCTTTGCAGTCTCTTACATTTTTGACAAATAAAACATTTATACATTATATACATATATTGTTATCTTACTTTCTCATGTTCTCTTTAGAATAAGATCCATGTTATTATTAACATGACGTCTATTGAAAATCTCAAAAATCTGTCACTGGTTTTAAACGGTCACGAGGAATAAACGTCGTTAGCCGTCGATCCTAATACAAAGTTTTTCCAACAGAGAAAGAAGAATGGAAGATGTAGGCGTCCAAAAATTCGATTGAGAATCGACTATTGTAGAATAAAATTTATAGGTATACATATGTTCTTCCGCATACCAGTCAGTACGTCCTCCTGTTTAAGTAACTGACCGGCAAGTGCTGACCTCCTACAACAAATGGTTCAATTATAAGTTACACAGCGAGCGCTATTTTACACTGCTATATCAGCTGTGGAATATGGTAGAATATTCTGTATGATTCTAACCTTTGTCAGAACAGTTATGCTAACCCATTAAAATCTGTGTTTTGAGTCTAAGCAAAATGCCAATAAAATATATTGGTCGCAAGACTGACTTCAAGGGTAAAACCTTGTGGGAAATTTTGGGTAATTTGAAAGATTTTGGTGTTGGTAGAATCATAGTCAGAAACAGATTTCAAAAGTATCCCGAACCAACCTATATAAAAATTGTGAAAGTTGCGGCATTGCCTAACGCATCTGGGGCTCATTTAGTGAGTGTTTTTGTAATTGTTAAAAAAAATGTAATTAAATGACAATTGTTTTTATTGTGTGTTTAGGACTTCCGAAAGGTTGCTGCTCTTGTTCAGAAAACCTTCAGGGGTATAACCGATAAAAATCTTGTGCAAATAGATAGATCTAGCTACAAGGCAGATTACATACTTATTCCTAAAGATGAGGAATACAAGTATTGCCAACCTCCTAAAGAGACAAATCCAGTGATACTACCAAGAACCGTAGACTTTCCTCCGTTGCTGAAAGAACTTGTACTTAGAGATATGAAAGCTGCTGGGACACCTGTCACAGAGGAGCCAAGATTGCAGTTGCATTATAATATTACTAACTCGAACATAAAAAAATATAGACCTGCAAAAGAGGGGGAGAAACCAGATATTGAATTTACCATGAGTATGGGTAAACCTACTCATTCTATCTTGTACGCCAATATTAAACAATAGAACTTTTGTTTATTTTACCTGTAAAATTGTATAGTTGGTTTGAAATATAGGTTTACCTTTTAATTCAAAATGGATTAATCTTTTTTTTTATGGATAACTTGTATCGGTCACATGGATTCAAGTCTTCATCCTCACTCCTTTGTCCTGTTCCCAAAGAGGCGTCCTTAGCCTTCTCAGTCCTTATTGCCTGATAAAATTTTGAAAAACACAGAAATAAAGCTTTTAAGTAATAATGATATTTTAATACCTTCCAAAATTGTCGCATCTCTTGTACATCCTCTTGTTTGCGAACAATCCAACCACGAATCCATCTTTGTAAAATAAGGGCAGCTTGTTCTTCGGTCCATAGCCATGATTTTGGATATATAGGTCTTGGACTTTTGGAGTATAATAAATTTGTAATTGAAATGGCAATTAATCTTATTATCAAAATCTTACTTTAACTTCAACCAAATCCTAAATGGTGGAATGCTAAATACATCTAGCCATCTTTTTGATCTTTCTGGATGCCTGGGACTTTTATTCCACAGTACTTCTGCCAGATAATCGAGTCCATTGAATCGACTTTTTTGTATCTAAATGAAAATCAGTTTCATACAAAAATCAGTACAACAATTAATATAATATAAAACCATACGCGAAGAACATTCCATTGACGAGCCTGTTTCAACATATTTTCCATAGCCGGAAGTAAAACAGGAAAAATCTCATTGTTTAAATAATGAGCTGGACTATCATGATGAGGAATTTTACGTTTCAATTCTTCTTGTTCATTAATCCATTCTCTACAAGGAGCCAATTCATCTTCCGTCTCGCGTAGAATAGTCTCCCATAATGAGAAACTTTCTTCCTCTTCCTCTTCACACTCCCTCTCTAAATTTTCAAACTCATCAAAGTCCCTGTCAGAATCCGAAAATGGACAAAAACAAATTTCCACCTCATTCTGTTCTTCAGAAATTGACTGATTTTCTGACGTTGAGGAGAAGTGCAACGAGGTAGATAGGGAGAGAGCCATTTTGTATTTTATTTTTATTTGTTTTCTCAATAGCTGTTCATTTCTCTGTTGCCGTGTGTCAGCTGACACAGCAGCCATATTTAAAAGTAAATTTCTCCATGATATAAATGGCCATATATATAAAAGTTAAATATAAATTCGAAAATTATAACCTTTATAAAATTACAGATTTCAGTAATTAAAAAAACAACAAAATGCCTACGTGTCCAGATACCTGTCCTGTTGTGCGAGGTAGATCTTTTTAAATCGTTTATTTCTGTCTGTCTTTTAATTTGCTCAAATTTCATAATCCAGCTCAAATATTAATGGAACAAGAAGCTTTGAGATCTGCGGCTAAAGAAAAAAACAAAGATACAGTACCGAAACGAACCCAGCCTATAAAAAAAGAGTCTAGATTAGAAGATTCAAGTACAAGAGCAAATAGTGAAACGCTTAAATCAAAGTCAAGTCCACAAACACAACAAATGAACAACAATATTACTCAGCAAAATGTATCAACTCCTGGTAGAAGTCCTGATAAGAAATATCAAAATCGTCATGTTCAGCAAGACATGCAGTCCGACGTGGAGAACATATCTCCAAGATCATCTGGCACAGCATCCCGAAAAAAACGACGTGAAGATGAACTGGATGATTCTTCTTACGTTGATGCTCAAGAAAAATCTGGAGCCGCGTCTGGAAAAGTATCTCGAGCTATATTCCGCGAAGATAAACAGGATGAATCTAGTAACAAAAATATTCAAGGAAGATCTCAAGGTGCAAGTAGCATAGCATCTCGTGCAAAACAGCGCGAAGACATAAAGACTACAAAATATTCGGATCGAAAACTTCAAAGTAAATCTGGAGAAGAAGCTGCAACTAGCATCGCATCTCATGCAAGACAACGTGAAGACATAAATACTACAAAATATTCAGATCGAAAACTTCAAAGTAAATCTGGAACTTTCTCAAAAGAGGAAATGGAAGAAGAAGCTGGTCCAAGTTCCGGAGGAAGATCAATTCCACAAAGACATTCCCCCTGTGATCCAGAGTGCCCTCTTAAAAGATATAAAGGTTCCTTTTGTTATCATTCGATAATTCCTTTATTGCATAAAATTGACATAAAATTCTTATCTACATATAATTTTTTTTCAGAATTAATTAAACGTCGTACCGAAGAGAAACAACGTAAACTCGATCGTTACTTGATCAGAAAGGGATTCAATTATTTTGATAATCTTTGCACCTGCTCGGTAATATGTCTGTTCAATCAATTGAGCAGAGATCCGTTCGTAAGATCATTGATACAGTCAGCATTGTTATTTACCGTCGGTCTTAAACTCTGCAGCGAACTTTATGCTTGGGAGATACCCAGCCGTGCAACGTTCTATTAACTAATTTCAAAAAAAAAGAAGTATCTAAAAGAATATAAACAAAGACCCATATTTATTTAAATTTTCGAAATTCTAGGCCTTATCCAAATTTTAATCGCGCACAACAACGCAATCACAGAAACTAAACCACATATAGATAAAAGATAAGGAATCGTCAAATTTTTCTGGTCTAGTTTATTAATCTTTTCATTAGGCATTATCACTCGGAATAATATGTCATCCTGCCAATTAACAGTATCATTGCTGTTATCAGTACTTCGCACTCTTCTGACATGACTGGCTGGACAATTCAATGCGCAGTCATCACCATCAAGACACCCAATGACTTTGACAGTGAGAATCATCTCATCAGTTTCTTTCATATTCTCGAACATAAATGCGTGAAAAATAATATAATTTTCCAACGGCGATACTCTATGTTGTTCTCTAGATGAAATTTCTCGAATATCTGGATTGAGACAGCCATGAGAATCCAAAATCCAAAGACTATTCATTATTTTGTTTCTCTGTCTCTTCTCTACGTAATGTACAGTCACTTCACTGATTCTAGAGTATTTCCATCCTGTACACAAAATTTTACAAATTTATTCACTAAAAAAAATTGTTTCAATCAAACCTTTCAACGTACCATCGCCTTCTCGTACCAAAACACGTAGAAGGACTTCTTCACCGAGTATTACAGTTCCACCTGGTTGTATTCTAGTATCGAAAATATTGTCCGAACTGTACGTCTTTCTGTAAAGTGCCACGTCGGTCTCGAAAACATTTTTGAAACCGCCTGTAGCGATTCTCGGTGCCATTCTTGCTGCGCTAAAAATTTACGAACACCATGCATTGTCATGATTATTACGTGCGGCAGACCTTGAAGAATTTCTAGTATTGCGGCGTACTCACGTGTCTAATGTTTTTACATTAATTTGCTTGGTGTGTGACGTCACTTTTTCTTGAGTTTTACACTGAAGCGTCACGTGAAAATCATCCTTGAGCTTGAGTCCTTGTATAACCGGAAATCGTAGGCTCAAGCAATAAAATTTATCGGATTCAATGGAGCAGTCGATAACACCGCAATTCAAAAATCGATCATTTTCCAAATTAATACGATAATCGCCATTGTGCTTTGTCATTTTGCACGCATCGCTTCTAGCATTTTCAATGACAGGACGATCGTAATTCTTCACAGGACTTACGGATGCTCTGAAAAATATTTCCCGTCCAGAATTCTGACAGGACATGTCATTGACTCGTACGACAAAAGAATTTTGATTCGATTCTTCTTGAACATAACCTCCCTCTGTAGTACGTTGTCCGACTTTGGTTTTAAGAAAATTCGAATAAGTCTGAAAGCGACTAGCACGTTCTCCATTATGAAAAGGTGCCCTCAGCACAATATCCGGTACAGAAAAATTGCTCAAATCAATCCTTGTCACATTATCCACAATCATATTATCAGAAGACAATGACGTGGTAGAAGAGGAAGCAGAATTTCTTGCCCGATTATCTACGACTTCCGGTAAAAATTGAGTGGGCGATTCAGGCGGCAGATAAGTCTGCACGGTAGAACCGGGAATGGCACGCGTCCCGTTGAACCTTCGTGGAAAATTAATGAAAACAGTCTTTTCCAAATCACCCGCATTAGGCTCAATCAAATCCAATATGGCCGCCAACGAATTACCGATCATTTGATTCAACAGAACAAAGCATTGGAGTATCTGTGAATTAATATAAAAATGAGAATGAGTAATATGCTAATTTCCAAAAATCAAAATTTCTCTTCACTTACCAATAAAAAATATCCCATCTTGAATTCCACGTTGAATCGCGCCATTTCACACTGTTTTCAAAAGTAAACTGACCAACGTCTCCTCTTTGATCGCCTTTTAAAGGTAACCAGTTATCGATGAATATGCGTCAAAGAGACAGCTATCATTGTTCCCTCGGTGGTAAAAAGAGAAAAAAATGAAAAGTCCATTATTAGGTACCTCGTTTCGTGATTTGGTTGACGATCATACCACATTAGCATAAAACATCGGGCGCATCCTCCATTTTAACACTCGTCCCATTAACGAGCACTATACATTAACACCACTCCATATGAAAGATATATACGAAGTGCTTCGATCAAACATCAAATTTAGGTTAAGCAACCTTCAGATTTCAATTGAACATCATTCATGACCGACCAGGTCGCCAGATCCACCTACATTACCATACGAAAACATAATGACGTTACCAGTCGGTATTTTTATGGTAAAAAAACAGTTATCGTTTCCTCGTATAAAGTTAATAATAGAACACCTGTAATAGTAAAAAGAATAATAATATAATTAATTTTCTAGGTTAATTAACGATTACGCAATCAATTTATGCGTATATATATTACGATAATTATTTTTACGTATTACGGAAGCGTGCCTATATTATGGTGGTAATAACTGTTATCAGGTTTTATGTGTACATTTATTAATGGCTAAATTATCATAATAATAATCGTACATTTTCTTGGCTTACTATACAGTATTTCAGCTTGGAGATCCGTGAAGTATAATACACAGATCGAACGCAAAACCTGTTGGCGTTCAGGCCACCCTGGATTTGTATCCAAGTGGATTGACCTTGGAAAAGTGCACTGTGCCAGATAACTGCACTGTGCGTTCGTAGATAGGTTATCGGAATTTATCATTAAATGACTTTTTACGGAAAAATTGTTTGTACTTTTTGATAGTGAAATTCGATTAATCTAGTCAGTAACGTATGGCTGATGTCATTTGTATTACATTGTAGAAGTTACACTCCGAATACTTTACAATAAAGACATGGCTGAAGAACTGTCAAAATTGGATTTAAATCAGAAATTTTCAGTGCGCAACGAAAAAACTCATGGATATATTCCAGGACTGTCCAAAATGAAATACTCCACATGCGTGGCTAACGTAGTACAAAGTAAACCGTTATGACACACGAATTATAATTGCAAATTCGAAAATTCAAGAAGAACAGTGAATCAAAAAGAACAAGAATTTTTAAATCGCATAAAAAGTAGGTGAATCAAGGTAAAAACCCGTAAAGTACGTGTAGTCTGGTCTTACCGGAAATTCAAGGCGATCTAGCAGAGCGCAAAATTCAAATAGCTTCCTTGATTTTACACGAATTTGACTACTGCCACACGCTAATACAAATCAACAAAAAAAACTAGAAAATTACCTCTAATATTACTCATGCAAGAAGAGATAAATACCACATAGAATCGCTGTACCATGGATGTCGTTAATAAGTTCTCGCCTCAGTTCCTGTATTATCAGTAATAGCGTTCTGCTCATTAAGCTTTGCTATAGGTAAATATCAACGTCAGGCTTCGTTACCATACCGGAATATACAAGAAATACGCATTTAAGAAATCTCGATGAGAATAAAGACAATCGACAACCAATGATGCGTCACGTATATTCATAATCAAATATAATTTTTCCCAACACTCTAATCTTCTTTAGATAAACCGAATTTTTCGTATATTCTAGTTATGCGCGGGTATCGTCTCCAAAGTAGGGAGGGGATGCACAAGGTGGCGCTTCGACGTCGTTCACGCAAACTAAATACATCTACAAATTCTACAAGGCATCGCCCATTTTGGATTTAAAGGTGAACCTAACCTATTAAAAGAAGCTATGGCCCGTAAACAGGCCGATGCATGCTACCGACCAAGAACCCAGCCTCTGTTACTCGCGCACTCGCTAACGGACAATTATTATCATTAATCTTGAACTTGTAGACGGCCGAGCGAAAGGTATTCCGCGGTAGAACGGATTCCACCGACGCAGAAATCCGAGGCTTGCCTGCAGTGAATAAAAATAATATAATCGTTTTGAGGGACCCGATGGAAAAAGGTAAAAGCGCCTGCTATTCTCTTTCTTGCATCTTTTTCTTTGGCTATATTAGAGATTGCTAACAGTACAGGCAGTCAGCTAATTACAGAGACGTATCAGTGCCAGTTACGTGAAGAGATAAAGGACAACAGTACTGTATGTACAAAAAAAGGGTTCAAATCCTTTCGTCTTGTATTTGAATTTCACTTTTTTTAGTCTATATTATGTGAAAAGATTATGGGTTCTTTTTATACCTTATTCTACGTGCTACGACATTGTGGGTAACGGAAGAGCAATCTTATGCGAATGCTGGATGACGTTCTGCGTATTTGACAGTGCGATTTTCATGACAGAATGCTATCAGTCACTACGTGCTGCTAAAGAGAATTGGCAGCGATGGGAATAGATATATTGAAAACGGTTATAGGAATTTCATATAATTTATCACTTATCGATAATTATATACATATATATACCCTTTGTTGATCTTCAAGAACTATTATTATTATAGAAATAATAAGTATGATTCACTGAGAAAAACCTGTTACGCATACTACACTGATATCTATAATCAACATACATAACGATTGCATAAAAGTGCAGTTAAGCAATTAACAAAATGTAGAGGATACGACATTGACCCACAATTGTAATGACGTAAAAGTCAGTAACCGCTTAACTCATTCGTTGTTATACATATATTAGAATCGTATAACGTTCGTCGATTCGGTCAAGTACCCAGGAAAGAAGCACCGTAACATATTCGAGTACAGTTTAAAATTTTGTTCACTGATAATTACCAAAAAAAGTATATATATATATATTACTGAAAAAGTTAAAAATACCGAGCGTTCAGAAAACAAAAAAAAAGATGAAAGTCGTGCAAAGATCCAGGTGCATTCCAATATTACGATTTTAAAAAGTCGCCGTTATGCAATAATTCTTAACAATTAGTTGCAATGATATAATGAATTATTCTAATGATTTTCAATGCGTGATAACGGTGCTCCATTTTTTTTCTTTTTTTTTTGTTCAGACATTATACGTTCCGAGGGTTCGAAGCCATCGCTGGAGCGAAGAGGACGAAGCAAAGATGGTTGTTAACAGAAGCACCGGGCATGCATTAACAGTACTCTGGATGGGCCTGGTGGTTCTCTGTGCTCTCGGTTCTTTGGTTGGCTCTTCTGTCTCCCGCCTCCTGGATTATCACCCCAGGACACTGCCACTACGAGGATCCCGTCCGTAGTTGGTTTTAGCCGTTCAGTCCATCGGCAACCTTCCTGAAAATTGCATCTTTTTCAATCTATAACCAGATTTCACGTTGCACTTGTTCTCTACCGCTGTTGCACAAACGTACAGTGTTGTACTAATAGATTTTTGGTGTTAACTAAGAACAGTAATATTTTCTTGTTGAAGCATCAACGTGTTATGATGTGGAGGATTCTTGTTGCTGGAATATATATGGTATTTTAAATTGTTATCAATTTTCTTTCTTTAAATTATTGAATCACCGACAATACATTGTCGGTAGAGTTTAACTTTTTATATTGTTATCGTTATTATTATTTATAATGTTATCATGACTCCGGTGCATCTTCTATGCATTTTCCATTAATTTGCAAGGGAATAACAGTCACTTCCGTAAACGACCTGATTCGTTTTTTCTATCTTTGTTGTATGTGCATGTATGTACAATGTATCCTTATGTCGAGTCATCCTTATATACGATTGCTTTATTTCATGGTGTATTTTGTCTTCTCTGCAAATGTTGTACTGGCGTGTAAGAAGCACGTAAAATTCACGCTGGCAATTCTATGTACGTAAGAGAATAGCTTACGAGTGCATCAGAGCGTTCGCTTACACCGTTACTCAGTCCTTAGCGTTTAAGTTACTTGACGTTTGTAGTACGTGTGATGCTCTCACGATAATAATGACAGGGTACCTTTGTGACGCGTGCTGGCAAAAGCTGTGTGACTGTTAGAGCAATTATGAAGGTTATATATATATATATAGAAAGAGAGAGAGAGAGAGATAAGAAGAGGAATAAATCTGGCAACGACACGTGCCAGAGGTCTGAGGCCATTTTAATGCAAATTGTGATACCTATGTATCGATGGTTTGTACGTTGGGTTTGTTAGGATTGGATTACAAAAATAATTTAGCATAACTTTTATTTATGAGAATAAATTGAAAATCGGTTAATGATAATTGGGATTTGCTTTTTGTCGAAATCTCAACGATTTTAGGTCGCCATTGCTGTGGCGCAGGATTACGAGGTTTCCGATATTCAGTGCAGCGGTGCAGGATCAGCTGCTGATCTTTTAACGGCAAAAATACGAAGACCGGTCGGCTTCAAAGGGGCGCCGCTATTCGCTGATGATCGAGCCGCCGATCCATTAACTGATCTTCACTGTCAGATAAGACCGGATCCGAACGATCCTCAGGAAGACAATTATTTTCTGAAGGTGACCGATTTCTCGCGATGCGGTATTCTGAAGAGGAACGTAAGTCGTTTTATGTAAAATTACTTTAGAGTTTGTTGATGATTATTTTTATTAATTATATTCTTAATTAGGGATTCATACATTTGCGTGTTTGGTTTCCTGCGTTTCCTGGAGTCGTCATGCTGGCGGATCAGGAATTGATCCTCATGTGCAGACCACCTGAACCGACGCTGCTGAGACATAAGGCAGCTGGATTTGCTGGGACTTTGTGAGTGGCTGTTTCGTGCTTATTTTTTAAATTTTATTCGAGAAATATTTATTGAAAGAAAAATTGTCATTTTTAGTCCACATGGTGCCAGAGTGTCAGGGGTCGTTGAGGAGACTCCAGGGCGTTTGGAATACGAAGTGGCACTGTACCGTGAAGCAACTGGCAATGCGACAGACAGTAGTTCAAATTCACAGACAGTTGATCAAGCTGTGCCAATTGGTACGAAACTTCAGCTCAGGGCACGAATAAGTTCAGAGAGTGCTTGGGGTTATATAAAGTTACTGGAGGTCACTGTAAGTCCGGATCCTGATCAGCCTCATGCACCAGGAAGCGTGACCCTCGTCAAAGATGGTTGTAGAAATCGTGACTTTGCATCGATCATTCCTCATCAACCAGCAAGATACAGAGAGAGAAAAAATGAAGTTTTTCTTGATTTCGAAGCTTTCTTGCTTAGTTCCATGAGAGAAAGATCTACACTTTGGATTCATTCCCAGATCAAGGCTTGCATGGAGCCGCAAGACTGTCAACCAGTAAGTTTTTATTTTTATTTTGTAATATAACAATATTTTATATAATATGGATTCTTGTCTTCAACAGGATTTTTGTCTGGATCTATTTGAACCCTCGGGTCATGGCAAGAAGAAGAGGTCAACCAAAGAGGACGATGGCGGAAGTAAACATTTTTTGCCACGAGTTGAACGGCTCGTTCAGAAATACAATGATTCAACGCCATTTACAAAATTCAAAGAAAATATTGAGTACACTGTTATGATGCCTGGTGGTGAGTATTTTTGGGATTTAATTTAATTTTTTTTATAGTGGTATTGTTGGTACAATCTATGTTACAGAATTGTATGATAAAGTAGCAGCTGGCCTTGAAGGTAGCTGTGGAAATTTTCTCTACGTTGCTACCGGACTTGGGGGACTTCTGATGCTCTCAGCTTTTATAATGTGTTACTTGGCGTCGCGTCTTCATAGTATCTCTTCGTCGATTCCTCAAAATAAAAGCATTGACGAATTGGTGCGCGAACGAGCCCGGAAGTACTGCGAAGTCACACCCGGATATACGGGACGTTCTACGGTTCAATAAGTTATTGAGACTAGAACAGCCTTGTCAAGGTTGAATTTTGTAAAATTATTATTTATATACTTTTTAAATCTACAAAGGAACCTTGTACCTGTCGGCAATGCATATACATATATAACCTTGCCTACGAGTGCAGATTCTTAAATTTAAATAATTCTCGCGCAACTATCATTGGAACGAGAAGGAATCAAAGCTTCGCGAATTGCATAGTTTTATACAGGGTGTTCCGAAATTACCTGACCAACGGGATATGGCGGTGTTCGGGAGACACCACTGATCACGAAAATGACCTTCCTTTTCTCCGGAAGGTCATTGTTTTTAAATAGGAGCAGGTTAAAGTTGACCAATCAAAGCGAGGCGTCAAGAGAAACGTAGGCACCTACGAACTCTGAGTTTTCTTCCCTCGCTTTTGCTTCTCGTTGGCTTTGGGCAGGATGAAGTCAGCCGAAGACATGCCTATTGGAAACAATATACAGGGTGTTCCGAAATTACCTGACCAACGAGGTATTACGGTGTTTGGGAGGCACCACTGATCACGAAAATGACCTTTTTCTCCGGAAGATCATAGTTTTTAAATGGGAGCAGGTCAAAGTTGACCAATCAAAACGAGGTCTCAAGAGAAACGTAGGCACCTACGAACTCTGAGTTTTCTTCCCTCGCTTTTGTTTCTCGGTGGCTTGTTTCTTGTTTCCAATAGGCATGTCTTCGGCTGACTTCATCCTGCCCAAAGCCAACGAGAAGCAAAAGCGAGGGAAGAAAACTCAGAGTTCGTAGGTGCCTACGTTTCTCTTGAGACCTCGTTTTGATTGGTCAACTTTGACCTGCTCCCATTTAAAAACTATGATCTTCCGGAGAAAAAGGTCATTTTCGTGATCAGTGGTGCCTCCCAAACACCGTAATACCTCGTTGGTCAGGTAATTTCGGAACACCCTGTATATGACTTTTAACACGAGCACCAATTTATCATATTTTTTTTTTTCTCAAAGCAAGTTTCCTTCTCAGATCTGACGAATAACTGAATTTTTAAATTTGGTTTAATATTCCTTTATAGGTTATGTATAATTTAATTACTTTCACAAATATTTTATTGCTTTAAAATCTCCGAGTATTATTCTAGGGATCTTTATCGTGCGAGCATTGCTATCAAGTGACCTGATAGTCGAATACGTAGAATATATAAACTACTGTGGAAAATTATATATTTTAATCGGGATTCTCGTAATTCATACGGGTTCGGAAAATTCGGCCATGTTCGGTCAAGCTCGGCTTTCCTAGGCGTGAATCCAGACATCTCCCTTTAAAACCGTCAATTTATACCAGTTCCAATCAGTTTTAAGCTGACAACGATGCCGAATGGATGCTACGAAGAATTTACGAGCCCTACTGATGATTGTCGAGAATTCAAGAATTGGGTGGGTACAGGAAAACCTGTCACTTTTGTACATAAACACATTTTATTGTAAAGAAATTAATTAAAAGAAAAACACGATCCTCAAGAGACTCATGAATTCTCCTAAGAATCAAATTTGACCAATCGACAAGGATCATTTTAATATTTATCTAATCATAGGTAGAATCGTAGGTATAATAATTTAATATATAGATCACGATCCGTACTCGTGTATGATTAATATTTATTGAACAATAAAACGAGATTAAAGATCTCGAGCAAATTACAATTTTCTCAAAGCAAACATACAGATTTCTTTGGGGCTTTAAATTTTGTATTAATCCGGCTATTTTATTCTTATTGTCCGTTACGTGTTGCAACTAAGCACCGACCGATAGCAGTACGAAAAACGTGGGTATTATGGAATTTACAAAGAAAGAAATCACTAAAAATAAAAGTATTATCCATTTTCTATTTCTTCTCTCTTATTCTGTCAGTTCATGATTATTTAACTATCCTATACTGTCCATGTCTTTGGTATAGATTTCTGAGCACAATGCCTTAAGCACAGACATTATTTTAGTCTAAGACTTCTTTAACACTTTTTTTGATCAACAATCATGAGAAACAAAGTGCCTCAAAAAATTGATCACCTTATATATACAAGTCCCACTGTAGAAATGTCTTAAGAAAAAAAAAGAAGAAGAAGCAGTAATAATCGCTACAGAAATCCCGGCATTTTAAATAAATAAGACAGCTACCTCTAGTCAAGCATAAATTTATAGAATCTCGCGCAGCGAGGAAAAAATCATAATACCAGTCGAAGAAGTCACGACGATCAAAAGTTTCATTGCGAAAAATAACCATATTAAATTTTCAGATCATACAATTGAATGTGCCAACAGGCGCACGTGACTCCGGTAGTATTTGAAAATAGAATGATGCGTGAAAAAGTGCCAGTTTTTAACTGTGCAACAGTCACGATGTCTTTAAAATTTTGTTATTGTTTATTTTTATACACTCAATTTTGTTCTTCACGTCTACGTGCATTTATCGTTGCATAACACGAACTCCCGGTCGTTGTTTTAATCAGCAGTAGAAAGGTCCGCGTTTACGTCAGCGACGATCGTTTCGACCAAACGTCGAAGTGCCAAGCGTCGTTCTTCTATTTACAATTTTGCCACGAGAATATCGCTATCCACGTGAATATGCTATTCCAATAATTGTGACTTCCGTGATCGTGTAAACGCTTCATAAGCATCGAGCTCTTTTTTCTCCTTCTTTAAATTTCTATTCTCGTATTCCAACCTGAAATTAAAGACTATGTCAACACGCCATAGGGAAAATTTAATTTAATTCATCCCTAGATACGTAGAAGCAAACGCTTCTTAATGGCGTTTGACAATACTGCGTCTTATTAAATTACTCTCAGTAGAATTAAAGTAGAATAATTACTATACCACCATGACGAATATTTGAAACCATGCAATAGCAAAATAAAATACGTACTAAGTCATAAAAAGAAAAATTATGAAAAAATGTCATGCATTGTATCTATAACCGTATTTGAAATTTCTTTTTCCGCCTTTTGATCTACAAGCGGTATTAGTGCGTTTGCAAGAAAAAATTCAATAACTGTGTCACTGTCATTTATACAAGAATTTTAATGGAACGCGAATATTCAAAAAAGAAAGAGGACTTTCAAGCAACAAAGTAATAAAAAAAATATGTTTATTGCAAGATGAATACAAAAACCAGCCAAGTGCGACAAGTTAACGACCATTCAAGTTCGTAATGATCGAATAAAGCTCCTGGGACCTAAAGGGGCAAAATACAGTCCGACAATATTCATTAAAACGTTCGCGAGCCAGTGTTACATGAAGTAATGAAAGCAAGGACAAGTAAAATAATGCTGAGAACAAAGTGAACAAAATATTATGTATATAGTGAATGCTGTAGCAAAAAATTGATCCAACGATTTTTGTACTTGTATAATGGTTTGAATAACGCTTAAGCAAATGCAATTTGTATAAAAACGTCAAGTAAACAAATCAGTCGCATTCAGTGCGACATATTCATTTTTTTTTCTAAATCTAATACAATTTGCATTGCCAATGCGCCCGCACCATATTCCCAGACACTTCAGGGTGGATATTGATTAAAGGTCGCGCACCTATGGAGAATTATTCTCTCGACGATCTTCTCCGTAGTCATGTCGTTTCCACTGTTCAACAATTTAAATTTGTTTTGCCGCTTTGGCTCCGCATAAGGATCCGCACCATTTTCACAAGGCATTATCGACGTCTGTCCGTGGCAGACTATCGACACATTGAAATGCTCCATAAGGTCTTTAGTAACCTCATATGGCGCTCCGATCACCACCTCATTTACATACTGCAATAAAAAAACACATTTTAATGATTACTGATTAAGGTTATCAGTATGGACTCTATGAAGGGGGATTCGTAAAAGTAACACAAGCTATTTAGGCGTAAACATTTGAATTAAAAATTATATAAGCTCTGTGACTTGTGAAAAAATCATTAGGATCATATCGCAATTAATCATCCTTATTTTTATATTGAAACGGACATTACAACACGTTTGAAACTGTAATTGGACATTGACGTCAAACTATTGTAATGAAAAAAAAGGGAGAGTAAAAATGAATATAGAATTATGTATAAAAATGACTGAGCGAGGGGTCAATATGTTTTTCTCGTATATAGCAAGCTTTTGTCTTGTTTTTATTTCCACTCTCGACGCGATATGATTCAGCATTATAATCATGCGTCACATGATCATTTAAAATGCTAATCATTACATTTGAATAAATCGGCTACAAACGTATACACGTCTCCCGAGTATATTTCCACATGATATCACTTTTATGTAACGAATAATCAAATCCTACATAATGGATATACATTGAAGTTAAAATACCGTCTCACCTTGCAAGCCAGAACGCTTAATACACGTTCGTGTAGATTCATAATTGGATGATTGCCAAATTTGTATCGATTAACAGCTGGATCCGTATGTAGGCCGACTATTAAATAATCACCTTCCTTTTTGGCGACTTCAAGAAAATCTAAATGACCAACGTGGAATAAATCAAAGGCGCCGGCCACGTAAACAATTTTATCACTAGGTTGAGCACTCTTGCCGTCACTGAACTGAATGATCTTTTGTGTTGTTGGTAAAAATTTGGAACATCCTGTCCAAGGACTTCGAGCACTTCTGTCCTGGCCCATATTTGCACTTGGTTCTCTATCTATACTGTATTCACTATCGCCTTGTTTAAAGTGACCTCGAGTCATTAATAACATTCGACCCACAAGGTCAGTTGTCGAGACGCCCGCTGTTCTTTGAACTTCTCTGCAATTAATTCATTCATTGTCATTTACATAGTTATTCGTAACTGGTTTCTATCAGGATGCGTAAGGGAGGCGTATCGCTTATAAATTATCAGCCAATCTAATCTTGTGATAGAACATCGTATGATTTTAATAATCACATGGGAATGATATTTCATACTAATTTCTTATCTGACAAGTGTAGTATATGATATTGTGAGCATTGGAAAGTGGATCTCCTATTTTTAGTATGCGCCAATTATAATTGTTTAAATTGAAATCTTGAATTTTTATACGATTACAGTTATTGGTGCTTATGAGGATATAATTCTTAGTGTCCTTTTTTTTTAACTTACTTGTATCTCCCTGCTGCTTTTACTAAATGGTATGTATCAATACCATCTGCTGTCATTGTTATGTCATCTCCATGAACACAAAAATCACAGTCGTATTTGTTTAAGGTTTCTAATGTCGTTACGTAGGGTGCACCTTCCACTACTTGGTCTACCCACTTGATACCTCTTACCATTTTATACCTGAAGTTAAATAATTGATGTAAGATGTTAATTTCTATAGGGAAATTTATACTTTCATTATTTATGATCTTATGTCATATCAGTACATTATTATAAGTTAAGATATTTTAGAACCGTTATTGTTTCATGTCATATTGTTTAGGCAGACTCAGAATCCTCATGGTAACATAATGTCACGTGCCAATCAAATATTAATATATTATGTCTATCAGTTATGGCACTTTTTACAGTGATCATAAACATTCAGGAAAGTAGTTAAACAGCAATTAGTACCTTATGATTAAATTCCACATAAGAGATAAGGTATATCAGCTGATAAGTAATACTGCACAGTTTCTAGAGAATTAACAATTAACTTTGTTTGTTCAATGGATATAATTAAAGACCTATAATGCCTTCAGCAATGTCATTTTAGGATATTTTATTAAGATTTCAAAACAATTATTGTCTGAGTAATAACAAGAATTTAAAAGGCAACTTTATGTTTTACAGTATAGCTGTCTTATGTTTAACATATGAGACATGAAAACTCGAGTTATTGATTGGACTGTCTCCTACAAACTGTAAGTCCTTACACATGCATCTTTAATGAGATAATGATTCAGAAGAGGGTCAAGGTAAAGTGATTGATCACCTTAGTATTTTGATATTGGTAGCAAAAAATATTCAGTAGTTTAATAATTTGAATGTTCCTATAATGTTAATTTGTGGATTTCATGAAATGCACATCACCTTTCTTGTTCCGTAAATACAGGGGGCCCTTTGTGTTTTGTGATTTCCTCATCGGTATGAACTCCGACAACCAAATAGTCACCTAAAGCCTTGGCTTGTCTTAAGGAATTGGCATGTCCGAAATGAACCATGTCATAACTGAAAGAAAAAGCATCCTTCACTAATATGTATACATTTGTTTAAAATCTAAATTCATTACTATCTTTATTTAAATTTTAGTAGTATGAATTTCATAATAGAAATAATTATTCAAACAAGCACTTCATACATCTACTATCACTATGAATAGGCAAATGTCATTGCCTAGTACCCACAAATAGTAGAAAATAAATAACAAAATATCATAAGTGAAATTCCAAGGATATTTCGAGGTAGAATTTCAATATAATGAAAGAAAATTAGAAGCCAAGCATGAACCAGCATTTCAAAATAGTCGTACGTCAGCAAAAAGAAATAGAGTAGATAGAAACTTGCCGGTAAAAACTGTTAAGTATAAGCGTGACACAGTTATTAAGCAGGAAATAAAAATAGTCAGATAAAATGACAAACTAATTGTCATAAAACACGGCACCCTTTTCCTTATCCGAAAAAAAATTCTCACGTAACTTTAGCCAAATATTGATAAAATATTGAACACTCACCATCCGTCACACCATACTCGAACTGGTTTACGTTTATCCGTCATTGTGAATGAAAAATTGTCAGAATCCCAACAAAATTAAAATCTATGACAAGCACGCGCTTCGAATGTACACTTCACCTTTAAAAAAGTTGATATTCAGCTATTCCCAACCTTCAACAACCTTCCAATGCCTCCCAAGGCTCACTACTGCTGAATGCGCGAGTCGCATTCATGTAAAGTATCACCCCCACCACTGTGAATCATTGAGCTGATTTCAGATATGAACACTTTAGTTGAACGAATCGCAATGTCTTATACTTTTATAGGAATGTATCGTCACAAATAACAAGATAATATTCGAGATAAAAGGTATGAGTAATACATAAGTATCTGAATGAACGTGCCTTTTGAAAATATGAACAGTTATTATATAAAGTTAATGGAATTTTTATACCCACTTTATAAGGAAGCTGTGGTTTGACTTTGAAAACGTCACACCTCCTTATCTTTTCGGTAAAAGGCGTTACTGGACGTTAATTATTAGCGTTATCGATCAATTTCAATATCATGAATCATCATAATCAATAAACGATAAAGGCGCATGTGTAATCCTTTCAAAACTATTTGAAGAATATACGAAAGGACTGCTTTTATTGTGATTCAAGGAAGTAGAAACGTGTCTCTCACTTGCGTTGGTCATTGACAAAATGTAATTGATAACTTTAAGAGTGATATTAGCCTGAAGACATAACAACTCTTAAATTTATTGGAGCGTTAGAAATAACGGATGTATTATTCGTATCGAAGTAAAAGTCTAAAAGAGACCTCTGTCCATCATCGAATGCTTTCTGATAATACATTTGCCCCATGAATCGACCTTCTTCATCTTCTTCTTGACTTTCCCGGAACATTAAGATTAATTCTTATCACGTATAATAATTAACGTATTGACTGCTTTTGTAAGAAAAAAAATACGCATAGCTGAAAATCATCTGGTGATAGATATACAGGGAATTAATGGTTGAAAGTTTTATGAATTATTTAATAAATAGAAACTTATGAAACGTCGAATGATTTTTGTATTTTTTATTTTTTTTTTTTTTAATGCTACATTGTCATAATTCAATTTTCTCCGTTCAGCTTAAACTTAAATTGCAATGTATTGCGCAGTTTTAGATCTAACCTTTTACCTAGTATCTTACTCCATAAGTAAAAGGAAATATATATTTTTTCAGTGAATAAATGAATAAGACAAAGAATGCCTTTTTTTTACTTCATAAAGAAAAACTACCGATCTCGGTAATGTCTACTTTTAATTGCGCTTCGCGCTAATTTAAAATCGAAATTTCGTTTCTGTCGAGTATCGTATCTCGAAAAAAAAAAAAAAAAAAAAAAAAAAAAAAAAAAAAAAAAAAAAAAAAAAAAAAAAAAAACCAAGGAAAAGTTAGTCGCTATCGTAATGTTTCTTAAATTTCCTGTTTTTTTTTGTTCTTTTTCTTTTTGTCACATACAGACCATTCTCTCTCCCAAAAACTTTTCTCTTCTCCCTTCTACTCTCTTTTGTATTAATGTACATAGAGGAAATAGTTACAACCGCGCTAGTTAATAACCATTTTGTTGTCTATAACTGCTGCTACTGCCACCACCACTACCACCACCGCCACCACCACCGCTACTATATGCTCCGCCATTTTGTCCGTAACCTCCAGTACTGCTTGTACCAGTTCCGCTACTGTAACTGCTTTGTTGATACGGTTTACTATTATAACCACCTCCACTGGCACTACCTATAATGAAAACCGACACGTGAGTATAAAAATGTATTAATTTTATGAAAAATTGACATTTTTGCATTTCAGTCTGCATTTCGTACCACCATTGCTTCCGCCCCACTTGCTACTTCCACGATCGCCACCACCACGGTCAAACCTTCCTCCTCTATCCCCGTCGCGACCTCCACGAGATCCTCGGGAACCTCCTCCTCCACGACTTCCGGATCCTCTGGATCCGCCGCCACTGCGGCCACCGTAACGTCCTCCTAGAAGTAAGCAGAATATCAGCACCAGGTAAAATAGAAAGTTATATTACCGGTTTTTTATATATAACATGGTGAAACTAACTCTTGAAAACGCCGGGATTCCTAGACAGCTCGTAGAGCTTTGGATTAACGACCTGCTTAGCTTCCTCGAGCACCTGGATCAGGTCATTGGCCTTGTGGGAATTGCCAGGCGTAAAGAAGGCGTAGGCTGTACCCGTCCTCTGCGAACGTCCTGTACGACCGATGCGATGAACGTAGTCTTCGGAGTTAGACGGGTAGTCGAGATTAATGACAAATTTGACGTCCTCCACATCTGTGCAAAATCAATGGTCAGTCACAACATACCTGGGACTACATGTTTCTTTGTGGTTCAGTCGACTTATAAAGCAAACTGTATTTCTGAAGCGTTATTCAAAACCGGCGTTACTCGGGTGACATGCAAATAGAATTAAAAGCCGGAAATTATGAGTTTTATGAAAAACCAGCTAGAGGGTGATTCAAACACAATTATTAGATTTGATGATAATAATGAATACCAGTATCAATTCGACAAGATAGTTAAAAGGGATGATTTTCTTGGGACTGTAAATTTAAGTCTTACAAGAAAAATAAATAAAATAAAAACAAGTGAAGATTTCAGTTCAATTTGCAAAAGCACCCGTGTCACATAAGTAATTTGACCACAAAGAGCAAGCACATATTCTAATTACCTGTTTCTGCCTAGGGCTGGAAATGTAAAACGTTTTTTTTTTTTTTTTTT